CTTTCACTGTCTCTGGCTCTCTCTCCAATGAGCACATGTACCCTACATCAAGACCTCTACACAGAAAAAAAGAATAACTTATTTATTTATTTATTTAGTATTTGCGATAGAGCATGTATATTCACCAGATAGAGAAAGGGAGAAAGCAGTCCACCATGTCCCAGACTTGAACCATTGTTGGCCATGGGAGAAGTCCAGTGCTTTAACCACTGAGCCACTTGTTGGCCCAAAATAATTTTTAAAAAGTTAAAATGCAAAAGAATAAGAAAAGCTTTATGGAAAAGAGACTTCCTTGTCAGATCTTCACAGAGCTCATAGACACTGTGAAACAGAACTAGAATAAGTTGTAAATAAGACCTACCTTAATCTATCTGAAGCAAGCGACTAGGTTCCTACACTATGAACTAGGACTTGTGTCTTTAAACTGCCAGTGTGTATGAGGAGGTCGAACAAGCACAAGGAAAACCTCCAGAAGACTTTTCCACTATTTTTCATTTGCCGTATTTGACTTCACATTGCATAGAAAAAGCAAAACCATGGGACCAGCAGGTGTTGTAATGGTTACATAGCTAGACTCCCACGTAGTCAACTACGATTCAAATCCCAGACCCAGTGGCTTAACATTCATTACAGCCCTGTGTGTGTGCATGCCCAAAATCCTGAGAGAGGAATATAGGAGAAGGGTTTGCAGTGTAGTCATCCCCTCAGGGAGTGATAGCTTGCTTACTTTCTCTCTTGTTTCACTCTGTCTCTCCAGAGAGCACAAGTGCCCTATAGCAAATCTCTCTCTCAAAAAACAAACAAGGGGGGGGGGAACCAGTATTTGGCATAATGGCTATGTTGCTAGACTCCCATGTAGTTGACCCTATATGAGTCCTGGACTTGGTGGCTTAAACTCATGCCAAGCATGTGTGCGTGCGTGCCCAAGATCCCAAGAGGAGAATGGAGAAGGGATTGTCAGTGTGGCCATCCCCCTGGGGTGGGGGGGAGAAGTGTGATTTCTTGCTTTCTGTCTGTCTCTTTGTCTTTTTGGCAAGTGCATGTGCCCTGTAGCATAAACCTCTTCAAGAAACCAAACAAACAAGGGGACCAACAAGTGGCATGGTGGTTAAGGCACTGGACACTCCCACGTGGCTGCGCGTGGTTCAATACCTGGTGGCTTGCTTTCTCACTTTTTCTCTCTCTCTTCTCTGGTCAAATTTAAAAAAAAAAGAATGAATAAATAAAATTAAATGAATTATTCTTAGAAAAAATAAAATCAAACAAACCAAACCAAAAAAACAGGGGCCAGCAGGTGGCATGGTGTTCAGGAGTGCTGAAGTAACTCCCCCATGACCTACCACGATTTGAGTCCTGGACCTGTTGGCTTACTTTCTTACTTTCTCTCAGTCTGTTCCTCTCTGATCAAATTTAAAATAATGGATAAATAAAGTTAAAATAATTATTTTTAAAAAGCAATAAATTAAAAAATCTTGCTTTTTAGGTATTTTATAATACCTTTATAGGGTGGCCATGATGGAAGCATAGGTGACCTTGAAGAAGTAGATAGGGCTAAAGGGTATGCTGTCAGGCTGATAAGATTTTTCTTAACTGCCTCCTGGCTATGACTCAAGACTTATCTGAAAGGAGAATCTTAAAGTCAGTGGAAGATAAGAGTACCTGGAACCCACTGTAGGGCTGCTTTTAGGCAGGAGAAGTTTAGATGGAAAAGAAAATAACTTGGAATGCTCAATTCAAACCAGAGTAAGAACAAACAAACAAAATTTACAAGCAGAACAGTTACAATGGTGGTTTTCTGGGTGTTTGACAAAGTTGTTTCTAAACATTCTGGTTTGTTTCTGTGGACATTCAATGATTAGAGAAGCTGACGGCCATGTTACTAACCTCCCTTCCATTGGACTCTTCATTGTCTTTCAGTAATGTAAGCGATTACCATTTTGTCTTTTTCCAAGAACAAATGCAAAATAAATTCTCTTGAGAGAGATTGCCTGGGTATAATATCTGGAAAAGTACAAGAAATAGCAGTAGAGTGTGTCACTGAACCCTCTTCACACATGTGCATAAGCATGTTGTTGCTAAGGTCCTGAACACTTGCTGTTCTCTAATTGATCAATTATTGCTCTTATTGTTGCAGGGAAAACAGAGGGACTAAAATGCAGCATTCCTGAGAGATAGGAACACTTCATTGTTACCACCAGCAGGCAGGAGGAGTTAACACTCTGAAGCTCCTGCCCCCTGTGAGGGTTAAATGCAGTTTTTTATCTGGGAGTGAAGTGGGAGCTCCAGCAGGCTAAGGGTATCATATCAAGAAGAAGCTAAGTTTACTTTAGAGAAGAAAGGGTTAGATAAGCAGAATGTCTGTCTTCTCAGGTGGCTTTTATCATTTCATAGGGGGAGAGGCAGTGAATTTGCAGAGCCTGGAGAGTGTCAGCAGCTGTTGGCTTTAGACTATTGTGAGTTCTGGATGTCTCCACATTGTGAAGTGTAGTGGTCAGGAGAGGCCTGGCACAGACAGGCTTCAGTATGGCTGCCCACATCATTATGGCCAGTGTGACATACCTACTTCATTCGTTTTTTCTCTACACACTAATTTTTCTCTCCACTTTTTTTTTTTTGGAGAGGTGTTTTTTTGGGTTTTTTTTTTTTTTTTTTTGTTTTGCTATAGGGCGCGTGCACTCACCAGACAGACAGAGAGACAGAAAGCGAGAAATCACCCCCCAGGGGGGATGGCCACACTGCAATCCCTTCTCCTCCATTCTCCTCTTGGGATCTTGGGCACTCACGCACACGTGCCCGGCGTGAGTTTAAGCCACCGGGTCCAGGGCTCGAACCGTGGTCGACTACATGGGAGTCCAGCGACATAGCCATTATGCTAACTGCTTGTCCCTTTTCTCTCTGCTTCTGAGAGAAATTTTTGCTATAGGCTGTATGTGTTCATTGGAGAGACAAAGACAGAAAGCAAGAAATCACCCCTCGGGGATGTCCACACTGCAATCCTTTCTCTCCCATTATCCTCTTGGGGTTTTGGGCATGCATGCACATGTGCCCAGTGCACTTTTTTTTTTAACTTTTTAAAAATTATTTAATCTTGTTTATTCATTAATTTATTTTAATTTGACCAGAGTAAGACAGAGAGAGAGGGAAAGTGAGAAAGCAAGTCATCAGGTCCAGGACTCGAACCATGGTCAGCCATATTAGAGTGTCCAGCGCCCTAACTACCAAACCACCTGTTGGTCCCAGCCCAGCACAAGTTTTAGTCGCTGGGTCCGGGACTTGAACAGCAGTCAACTGTGTGGAAGTTCAGTGCAGTAACTGAAATGCCATCTTCTGGTCCCAGCACACTATTTTTCTCTTATTTTGAATATGCAAATCTTACTTCATTTATGTTTTATCTCCCTAAATGTTCATACCTTTGAATTTGCCCATCCTGTTTTTCATAGCTTACTTTTTTTTTCATACTAGATTTTCCTGACTCTTGTGTGAAAAATGTATTTACAGGTGGCTCTCAAAATGTCCTTTTTTTTTTTTTCAAGATTTAAAAAAAATTTGGGGGGACCAGCAGTTAGTGTAATGACTATGTCACACTGAACTTCCGTGTAGCCAACAGTAGTTTGAATTCCAGACCCAGTGACTTAAACTCATGCCGGGTGCATGTGCATGCGTGCCCAAGATCCTGAGAGGAAGATGGAGAAGGGATTGCAGCGTGGCCATCTTCCCTGGGGGGCGCGATTTCTTGCTTTCAGTCTCTGTCTTTCTGGCGAGCACACGTACCCTGTAGCAAAAAAAAAACAAAAACAAAAACAAAAAAACTTTCCAAAAAAAAGATTTTTTTTTAATTTTAAGTTTTTTTGGATGATATGTGCAGTCCCCAAGGGGGACAGATAGAGAAAAGGAGAGTGACAGAGAGATATCCCCCCCAGGGACGATGGCATGCCTCATTCTCTTTTTTTCATTTTTCTTGGCACACATACATGTGCTTCTGGCATGATGGTCACACTGCTGATTCCAGGAATCTTTTTTTTTTTTTTTTTTTTGCAGAGGTTTTTGCCATAGGGTGCGTATGGTTGCCAGAAAGACAAAGACAGAGATAGAAAGTGAGAAATCACCCTCCAGGGGGAGGCCACGCCTCAATCCCCTCTCCTCCATTCTCTTGGGATCTTAGGTACACAATGCACACAACGCACCGGGCATGAGTTTAAGCCACCGAGTCTGGGACTTGAACCACGGTTGACTACATGGAAGTTCAGCAACATAGCCATTATTCTAACTGCTGGTCCCACAGGAATCTAATCACACAACTGCCTGTTATCCAGTGCCTTAACTTGTATATCACCTACTACCCCCAAATGTTTGTATTTCAGTGTACAAGAAATGAAACACATTTTGTAACTGTCAGCAGTCTCAGGAACATGATGGTATCCTTCTCTAGATAGTAGGACATTGGTATCACAGGTATTATGTAGTCTGCCACACAGAGAGACATTTGGGTTGATCCTAGTAACACATCTTAACTTTGTTTCTGATAAGATGGATGTTTGTATTTTACTGATATTTAACAGAATATATGTTTTCCATCATTTTAATTACATTTAGATTTTTACCACAGGGAATGTGTGTTTGTCAGAAACAGTGACTAGGAGAGAGGAAACATGAGAAATCAGTCCCAAGAGGGCATGACCACACCTCTGTCCCTTCTCCAGTCACCTCTGGGAACAAACATGCATACCAGCCTGTTTTTGAAGCACTTGGTTCAGGACTCATACCACACTTGGCCATATGGAGTGCACCACAATAACCAGCACAATACCTGGTTGGCTCTAATTTTAGCATTGTAATTGCTATGTGGGAGAAAATAATTGTAAACAGAGATGAAGAATTCTTACGACCAAATTATTGAATGAATGACATCTGTAGTAACATGTGAACTTCTGAAGCAAGTGTGGATTCCCAGTGCTTTTAGTCTCAGCCTTTTCCTTCTACACATATGTGGGATGTTGCAGGACTCAGTGGTCTTTGAGGATGTGGTTGTGAACTTTACCAAGGAAGAATGGGCTTTGCTGGATCCTTCACAGAAGAAACTCTACAGAGATGTGATGTGGGAAACCATCAAGAACCTGGAGTATATTGGTAAGGATGATAGCATTCCTTCACTAAGTTAAACACAAGTGTTTTCTAATCATCATTGCCTTTCCAAAATTTTCCAGCAAGGAAAAAGGAATATTTTGTGATAAATCAGACAATGTCATAGTTTATCTTGACCCTAGAATCTAGTTTTTAAAAATACCATTATAATTCACAATGTTTCTGGGTGTATATTTTAGGGAGAAAATTGGGAGACCAGAATATTGAAGACCAGTATCAAAATACCTGGAAAAATCAAAGGTAATTTACACTCACAAGACAAAGAAATATCCCTTGAAAGCTTGTCATAAAATTTTAAACAGACATAGGAAACAATTTCAGCATATTTATCTCTACAGATCTTTCTCCAAAAATAACCACTTAAGTATGACATAGACTTTTGGGGCTTGCTTAATAGTTTATTTGGAAACAGCATTAAGAAAATGAATATGGAAGAAGCCAGTGGCATGCTGTTAAATTGGCTGGATTCTACTTGCTTGAGTTGGTGGTTTCAGTCTGAGACCGGGTGTATATAATTGCATGATCAAACTCCCGAGAGAATGTGATATAAGGGATTGTTTATGACCATTCACCTGGTGAGTGATTTTTTTCACTTTCCCTCTTAATGTTTGTTTTCAGAGAAAGGCGTACCATGTAGTAAATGTAGTTGGGACCCCTTGTAGAATATACAAAAAATATACTTGCTTGTTTGAATAATTTAGTGCCTAAACCTTATAGGTTGATAGATAAAGTCATAAAATATGTTTAGTCCTTTTTATTTCTTTTTGCTTTATATGCATTCGCCAGAGAGAGTAAGAAGGACAGTGAGAAGTCATTTCCTAAGGGGATATACCCCCTTGAAATGTGTTAGGGAACAGCAGAAATGCCATGCTTCTAGAATACCTTGAATTTATGAACTCCGAATAAATGCCTGCACAGAAAATGGCAAAAACACCTAACATCTTAACTTCCTACTTGAAAACGAAGGAGTTCAGTTAGCTTTAATGTGTGATTAGGTGAAATACATGTCCTCTTGCCTTCCTGGTTAAAAACAACAGAAGGTCATTAGATGAGTGTAAGATCAGAAAAATGTGGTCAAGTTCTATGATGTGCTATCTACCCTCTGGCAATATTTAGTCATATACTCCTTATCGATACTGAAACCACCCTGTTCCGGGATTTACCCTTACCTTTCTTTCTTTCTTTCTTTCTTTCTTTTTTTTTTTTTTTTTTTGAGAGATTTTCGCTATAGGGCATGTGCATTCACCAGACAGACAGAGAGAGACATAGAGACCGAAAGCGAGAAATCACCCCCCAGGGGAGATGGTCACGCCACACTCCCTTCTCCTCCATTCTCCTCTCGGGATCTTGGGCACGCATGCACACGCGCCCGGCGTGAGTTTTAAGCCACTGGGTCCGGGACACAAACCACGGTCGACTACGTGGGAGTCCAGTGACATAGCCATTACGCTAACTGCTGGTTCCCAACCCTTACCTTTCTAATACTCTAATAAGCATCTTTCTCTAAAATTAACTTTTCTTCTTCTTTTGCCCCAGTAAAAATTAAGGATGAGAGAACATCATCAGACATATTTCTGCTATGGCCTATGCTGCTCGCTCTCGACTCAGAACTCTGTGTCTCAAGCAGTGCTTCTGTTTGTGCTTCAGGTGTCTCTCTGTTGGATAGCAGAGTCATAGCAATCATGTCTTTTCCAATTTTTTTCTCAGGATTTTGGGCACACACACACATGAGCACAGCATGATTTTCCAGCCTTCTGGGCTAGCACTCAAATAGTGCAGCTGACTATGTTGAGAATCTAGTGCCTTTACCTCCATGCCACCCACAGACCCCATTTAGTACTTATTATTAAATACACATGTACTAATACATAAATCTCTAGTAATTTGCTTTTTATTCTTTACAGAAGTTATGTGATAGAAAGACTATATGAAAGAAAACAAAGAAGCCCATGTGGAGAACCCATCAGTCATATTACAGCTAACTACCTAGATGAGCAACTTCCTACTGCACTTAAACCATGTGAAAGCAGTGAGTGTGGAGAAGACTTGGTTCACTCATCTCTTAATAGGCCTATCAGAGGTCACAGAGGACAGAAACCTTATGACTGTAAGGAATACCTAAAAAAACCACATAACCATCAGCAAAATGTAAAAACCTTCATTTCCAATGACACTGTGGAAGGAGTCATGAGATCACAAAGTTTAGTTGGATCTTATAAATCTGAGATATGTTGTAAAACTTTTGATGATCCCAATTTATTTGGATTACATGAAAAAACACACAATAGAGAGAAACCCTATGAGTGTCTCCCAGGTGCAGAAGGCTTTACTTCTTTCAGTTCTGTTCAAAACCATGAAAGAACTCACACGGGAGAGAAACTGTACAAGTGCAATGTATGTGGAAAAGCCTATGCTGATCTTAGTTCTGATCCAAAGGATGAAAATACTAACACTGGAAAGAAACACTATGAGTGTCTCCAATGTGGGAAAGGCTTTATTTCTCCTAGTTCTACTGGAAACTATGAAAGAACTAACACTGGAAAGAAACCCTATGAATGTAAACAATGTGGGAAAGCCTTTAATTGTCCCAGTTCTCTTCAAAGACATGAAAGAATTCACATTGGAGTGAAACCCTACGAATGTAAGGAATGTGGGAACACTTTTAAATGTCCCAGTTTTGTTCGAAGACATGAAAGAATTCACACAGGAGAAAAGCCCTATGAGTGTAAAGAATGTGGGAAAGCCTTTAGTTATTCCGGTTCTCTTCGACAACATGAAAGAATTCACACTGGAGTGAAACCCTATGAATGTAAGGAATGTGGAAAAGCCTTTAGTTGTCCCAGTTCCTTTCGTATTCACGAAAGAATACACACAGGAGAGAAACCCTATGAGTGTAAAGAATGTGGGAAAGTCTTTAGTTGTCCATGTTCCTTTCGAATTCATAAAAGAACTCACACAGGAGAGAAACCCTATGAATGTAAGGAATGTGGGAAAGCCTTTCGTTGTTCTGGTGCTCTTCGAAAACATGAAAGAATTCACACTGGAGTGAAACCCTATGCTTGTAAGGAGTGTGGGAAAGCCTTCAGTTGTCCCAGTTCCTTTCGTATTCATGAAAGAAGTCATACAGGAGAGAAACCCTATGAATGTAAAGAATGTGGAAAAGCCTTTAGTTGTCCACGTTCCTTTCGTATTCATGAAAGAAGTCATACTGGAGAGAGACCCTATGAATGTAAGGAATGTGGGAAAGCCTTTAGTTGTTGTAGTTCCTTTAGAAGACATGAAAGAACACACAGAGAGAAACCCTATGAATGTAAGGAATGTGGGAAAGCCTTTAGCTGTCCCAGTTCCTTTCGTATTCATGAAAGAACTCACACAGGAGAGAAACCCTATGAATGTACGGAATGTGGGAAAGCATTTAGTTACTGTAGTTCCTTTCGAAGACATGAAAGAATGCACAGAGGAGAGAAACCCCATGAACGAAAGAAATGTGGGAAAGTCTTTATTTCTAGTACTTTTCGTCTCCATAAAAGGGCTCACAATGGAGAGAAACCATATGAATATAAGGAATGTGGGAAAACCCTTAAATGTCCCAGTTCTGTTCAGACACCTGAAAGAATTAACAATGAATGAAACCATATGAATGTAAAGAATGTGGGAAAGATTTTGACTGTCTTAGTTCCTTTCATCTCCATATAAAATGTCACGCAGGAGTGAAATCTATGCATGTAAAGAATGTGGGAAAGCCTTTAGTTTTTCCATTTCCTTTCATGTTCATGAAAGAACTCACTGGAGAGAAACACTATAAATGTAAGGAATGGGGGAAATCATTTAGTTGTCCTAGTTCTGTTCAAAGACATGAAAGAACTCACACAGGAGAGGAATCATATAATTGTAAGAAATGTGGGGAACTTTAGTCAATCCAATTGTCTTCATTTCTATTAAAGGATTCACACAGGAGAAAAATAGTAATGTAAGCAGTATGAAAGAGCCTTCTCTCATTCATCGTTCTTAGGGAAATATGAAAAAAGGCTCCAATGCTATCAATGTAAGTAATGTGTCAAAGCCACCTCTCATTCTACTTTCTTTCATAATTATGGAAAAACTTACACTGGAGAGAAACCCATTAATGTAAGCAGTGTGGGAAAACCTCTCAACCTGGTCACAGTGAAAGACTTGTACAAACAGTGGAGAGGAATTGTCCTAGTGTGGAAAATGTGGAAAAAGCCTTCTCAATGGATAGTTTTCAAAAACATCATAAATGCTTACAGGAGAGACACCAAAGAAATATATGCAATGTGAGAAAGTCTTTCTACTTGAACAAGCTCAAATAAATGGAAAAACTCACACAAGAGAGAAAGCCTGTGAATGTAAGCAATGTGGGAAAGCCTCTTTTCAAAGGTATAAAAGAATTTAGAGGAGAAAAAAAACATAGATGAATGAAACATGGGAAAATATTCCCTTATGTCTCAGATTTTCGGACACATGGTAAAGCTCATGGGGGATGGGTTGTGTAAATGTTACATACGGGAGAAAGCCTTAGTTTTGTTCAAATCATGAAAGAACTCACACTGGAGAGAACCCATGTTAATATGTATGCTACAGGTAAGCTTTTAGTTTTCTATGGTTCTTTTAAGTATATGAGAGTATGTATACTGGAGGAAACTTGTATCTGTGTTAAGTAATGAGGAAAGTCTTCAGATTGTCCATGTACTTTCAAGTACATGAATTAAAGAGCTATTGGTGATAAAGCTTGAAGATGGAAAAGCTTTCACTATCACAAACTTTCTAGCATGCAAGACAACATATACTGAAAAGAGCTCTTATTATTCTAAAGATTATTTTATTTAACTTTATTTATTTACTTATTTGAATTTGACCAGAGAGGGACACAGAGAGAGAGAGAGAGAGAAAGAGAGAGCGAGAGCGAGCAAGCTCTGGCAGCTGGTACTAGAACCATGGTTGGCCATGTATTAGTCCAGTTCCCTTAACCAGCATGCCACCTACTTGCCCCAAGACCTCTTATTATTATAAAATGTATGAAAAAATTAATAAGCCTAAAACCAGAGACTAAGGCCAGCAGGAGGCGCAGTGGTTAAGGCACTGTACTCCTACATTGCTTACATCAGTTCTAGTCCCAGACGAGGCACCTTAATAACCATGCAGGGCCCTGGTGTGTGTATGTGCCCAAAATCCTGACAGGAGAATGGAGGAGAAGGTACTGTGGCATGACCATCCCTTCCTTGTGTAGTGATTTCTCATTTTCCCCTCCCTTTGTCTGTGACAACCATATGTGCCTAATGGGGAAAATCTTAAAAGTTAATTAATTAATTAATTAAAAAGTCTACTGTGTACTCTACTGGTTATTAATGTCAGCCTCTACATGGCTGAGTGGCATATGAATCTCAGGTGAAGCTGCTAGGAAAACACTGGATATATATGACCAAAATCATGAGGAGATGGAAAGAGAATTGAGATATGACCAGGTACCATGAGGGATTTTTATACTACAGATTTGACCACATGGAAAACACCTACTGCAGAGACCCTTCTTTTAATTTTTTTTTTTTTTTGTACAGAAGTTTTCTTGCTATAGGGTGCACACACTCACTGGAGAGACACAGACAGACAGACGGAAAGCAAGAAATCATCCCCCAGCTGGCATGGCCATGCCACAATCCTTTCTCCTCTCAGGATTTTAAGCTCTCACACACATATGCCTGTTGTGTGTTTAAAGCTGCCAGTTCCAGGACTCAAACCACAGCAGAATATCTGGGAGTCCAGTATTATAACCATTATGCCATCTGCTATTCCCACAAACATCCATTATTAATGTAAAGGTCTGGTATTCAGCCACACTGCCTTTTTGCCCTTTACCTTTTTCTAACAATAATAATAATAATAAAGCTACCTTTTTTTTTCAGCACAGAAGTTCATTCTATTTTCTTTCTAGTAGAAAGATGCTATCCTTTATAAGTGTGTGAAATACATCATACTGTCTCATATAAATTATTTTTGTATTTTGCTCCTTGCTTATTGTTCTTATATCCGTCTGTTACTTTGGTAATTGAATCTGAATTAAGATGGAAGACCTGTGATTGAATAATAAAATCTAATCTAGAGTTTTATTGGGTTTCTGAATTTTGCTTTGTTAGTGTTGATCATGACATTTGGAAGGCAGAATTGAAGATGGCATTTATCCTGGATTTTGAGGCAGATCCCTGAGACCATGTGGGACCTTGTTTGCAGCCCATTTTCTTTGTACTCAAGTCTGTCAATTGAGTGTACTCAAAAACACTGCCAGTGACTAGCATTCTGTTTTTTGTTTTTTAATACTTTTGCCCAAGGATGTGTGTGTTTGCTTAAGAGACAGTGAGAGGGAAATTTGAAAAAAACATGCACCACTCAGCCCCTGCGGAATGGCCAGACCACAATGCCTTTTCCTCCATTAATCTCTCGGGATTTGGGGCATATATGCCCACATGACTGGTTTGATATTTCAAGCCACCAAGTCTGAGACTTGAACTGCAGTTGGCCTTGTCAGAGTCCTGTGTTGTAACCACCACACTCCCTGCTGGTCCCAAGTTCTGTTTTTATGTTTTAGCTTGCCACAGATTTCTACAAAAGCTTCACATCAAGGATTCATCTGTAGTCTCCATTTTATTGCAAATCTTAATTTGTGTAACAGGGAACCAGTTCAGACTGTCATGGTGTGGAGTGTTCCATGGCTCCCTTAGTCTTAAAATGAATTGATGTGATGGGACCAGCAGGTCAGGTGGTGGTTAAGGCGACTGGACTTTCACATGACTCACCATGGTTTGAGACCTGGATCTGGCAGTTTGCTCTCTCACTTTATAAAGTTAATAAAAATAATTCTTTTTTTTTTTTTTTTTTGGGGGTTTTTTTTTA